TTGATTGGCAGACAGGAAAACCTCAATGCTCACAACAAATGACACTTGAGTGCACATGAACATGACACCAGTTGTCTTTCCTTGCACCACTTTTGGTAGATCCCTATCTGTTGTGCAACTCCAACAATGCTTTGACAGCTGGGGCTCTACAATTTTGCCATGCTTGCAGTGTTTGTGTGTTTGAATTTAAGCATGTTTTGTATGGAATATGCTTGTGTGAATGTAGGGGTGTGTTTGTATGTGGTGCTGGCATTTGAATGCAAGCATGCATTTATGTGTAGTGTTGGTTTTCAAACGCAGGGTTGTGTTTATTTTTCATTTTGATGTTTAACACAGAGGTGTGTTTGTATGTAGGTTGACGTTTCAATGCAGGAGTGTGTTTTTATGTTTAAGTTTGAATGCAGGGGTGTATGTGTGTGTAGTGTTGGCATTTGAATGCTGAGATGTATACATATACACACACAAACACAGATAAACACACACACTGAAATGCATGCAGATGCACAGATATACACACACTGACACATGCAGATACAGACACACCAATAGACATACCGACATACAGATGCACAGGCATGTAGATACACACACTGACAAACATACAGACACCGACAGACATACTGACACACACAGAGATACATAAACTAACAGACATACTGACACACACAGAGATACATAAGCTAACAGACATACTGACAGACACATACACACATACACTGACAGACATACTGACACACACAGACACACATTAACAGACATACTGACAGACACACAGCACATACACTGACATACGTACTGACACACAAAATATACATATATAAGGTGGAGCTGGTATAATACAAATCCGTGGAGATAAAATACAGCAGAAAATAGTGCAATATTGTCAAAACAAGTATTTATGAAGTTGATAAAATTAGGAGTATTACTCACAAGTGGAGAGCCATTAGCATCATATGGCTCTGATGGAAAGCATGGAAGGACACTTAAAGAAGGTCCAACTCCTATTATCCCTGGTCCTCTGTGTATACCTCTGGCAATCTGGACACAGGATGCTGAAGACTTTCTTCCAAAAAGTGCTTTATTGGTGATATAAAATCAAATGAACAAATAAAATAGGTAAAAACCTCATGTAGTATGTGGACAGTATAGTCCTAAAATGTCCAAAATGTGTTTTGCCCCTATAATGGGGCTTCTTCAGTTGGTTGTAATGCTTGTCTGAGTTCCCTTTGTTTTAAATCCGCCGCCTTCCCATTACTTCCGGTTCATCATTTTCAGTTCATCATATCCGGTGTATTTCTCCCTTGGAACGCATCATGTGTTCCAAATGTCAGGTGGGCCCAGTTCTGTCATCAGGAGATGAGGTATATGGGCTGATTAAAAGGGGCTGTGCTTGTTAAGGATGAAGAAGATTGTATTGCCATGGAACACAATACTGCATATTTGCGTTCCACTTGTTAATATTTTATACTTATGGGGTAAAAGAAGTTACAAAATCCAATTTTGTGGGATATATATTAAATTGGAGAATAATATTATATACCTAATTCAAAGCATATTAGGAAGATATATATATATATATATATAAAACTATTGATGATGACACATAGCAGGTGGTAAACACCTGCATTCATAGGATGAAAGGAGTCTAATTTTTATAATAAGTCATTGCTTCTAAAATAAAATAAATAAAGTTATATATCTTATTTAAAACATATTACCAAATCAGATATATAAAAAACATATTAAAGGGACACTGTAGTCACTATAAGCATTTCAGCTCTCTGAATTGGTTATAGTGCCTGGAGTGTCCTGGCACTGTCCCTCCATTCAGTATTGCACCATGTTCGTGCAGTATGCCACAAAATAAGAGTCCCTGGCCACCCAGAGTCCAGCCCCTTCAGTATGTGTAGCTAAGGCAGAGATTACACACTTCCTTGTTGTCATACCCATTCATACCGTCAGTTGGAACTCTGACAGGCTAAAAGCAGTCAGCTGACACTCTCAGCCAATCACAGCTGCCTATTGTTGTTCAGGCTAATACTTCCTTATTAGCCAAAGCAGCACAGAGTGGATGGATTGCCGGGGACTCTTGTTTAGCATTAAAACATTAAAAGTTTAAAAACTGTTTAACGCTGAAAGAAATGATGGCACCAGAGGACTCCAGACACTATAACCAGTTTAATGAGATGAAGCAGATACAGTGCCTATGGTGTCCCTTTAAGAAAGCAGATATATAAAAAACTATTAGTGATGAAGATAAAAAGTAAATGTAAAAGGGGAGAATAGTAGAAACGTATGGGATTTTTCAAAGTATTTGCATTGGGAGGGATGTTAAATGTCATTGGGGGGGGGGGTTAATTCATAAAATGGCCAATTCGACTTCTTTGAAGACATTTTTGGTGATTATGCGGGATTCCTGAATATTAATATTTAAATCTAAAAAATTAATGTCTAAAGTGCTGCATAGTGAT